GCTGATGCATGCCTGTGTTCGGTGCCCTGCAGCGCATGCTCTGCTCTGCCCGCAGGGGCTTACAAAACCTATCAGGCAAACCGAATCCAAGCCTTCTCATTGCCTTATTGTGGGGGAGACTTATTAGTGTTGGTTCGTGCCTATCTTCGGTGACCTGCAGCTCATACTCTGGTCGAGCTGCTTGCTGGCGCTTACCGCCTTAAATCAGGCAGACCGAATCCAAGCCTCCTAATTGTTGCATTGTGGGGAAGCTTTACTGACGTTAATTCGTGCCTGTCTTCGGTGACCTGCGGCTAGCCGCCCAGGTGCTCATCGCCTCACTAATCGGGCAGACCGAATCCAAGCCTTCTAATTGGCATGTTGAGGGGAGGCCTTATTTTTCTCTATTTCTCTATCTCCGGGCATTCCTATTTCTCCCATTTTACTTCTATCTTCCAGCATTCCTATTTTTCTTTTACTTCACTTCCAAACTTCTGTTTCTCTTATCCCCGCAGCTTCCCGGCACCTCGCCCCGCCGGCGGGTTCCCGGCTCTGCGCCGCTTCAGCCCGCGCGCCTCTCTCATCTGCGCAGCTTCCTGGCTTTGCGCGGCTCGGCTTCGCGCGCTCCGCGGTCTCCACGCTTAACCCTTTCGCGTCTGAACCACGGCCTACGCCAGCGTTCCCTATCTATTCACGCCCCGTGCTCTCTCTGCACGCGGCGGCTTCCGCGAGTAACACAGCGTAGCTTGCGTCTCCACCACTAGCATTCAATCCAAGTTCCCCGGGCTAGCCTGGCGAATTCAACCCAGCGTACGTCTCCGCCCCACGGTTTGGCTTTCCGTCCTTTGCTCCCCGGGCTAATCAGACGGATCCCAATCTGGCTTGCGTCTCAGCTTCTGGTTTTAACTTTTCGCCCCCTATTCCCGGGCTAACTTGAGAATCCCAAAGTGGCTTTCGTTTCCGCCTTGGCCTGCCCCCCGCGGCTTCAATTTCCCTAACATTTTTCTCTACCCGGTATGTTTCCCCAAGCTTTCCTCCAACGATATTCCTCCCTCATTTCTCCTGGCCTCTCCCCACAGTCCGCGTCCGAGTCTGTTTGTTCTAGCTTTCACTTTCGCTTTCGACCTTAGAGATTCCTCCCAGCTTCCCCCCGTAGTCCGTATCCGAGTCTATGCCTAGGCTTTCAATAGCTTCTTCCGGCACCCTTTTCGTCCGGCTTTTCCCTAGGCTGTTTGCTAGTCTCTCTCTCCGGTATTTTCCCTAGGCTGTTTGCTAGTCTCTCTCTCCGATATTTTCCCAATTCTTCCCGTTTCTTCCCTCCTAAGTTTCATATCCGTCCTCGGTTTCCTATCCGAGCTAGGTTTCCTAATCCGAGTCACGGCACCATTATGTCGCTCCCCCTCTTCGTGGAGGAGCAACACAGGACCCTGCGCTGTTCTTTCGTCTGCTCGGCCCTCCCCGGGTTTGCTGCTGGTTCTTCCCGGGTTGGCTACTATCCCTTCCACCTCCGTGGAAGGGCAGTTCCCCCTGGCCGCATTCCCCACTTCCGCAGGGGAGCGGCACACCGCCGGCCGGTTCTCTCGGGGGCTGCACGGGTTCCCTTAGATGTTCCCCATAGATGTTTCTGGTGCATGCCGTCTCTCTCCTCCTTTATAGTCCTCCTCCGCCAATCCCAACTCGGCTGAGTACGCTGCTCTCCAATCAGGAGCAAGTCCTACAGTTAATTGGTTGAACTGGAGGCAGCTGTGCGGAAGCTGTTTACTTCTCTCCCAGCGCCATATTGTGGGAGAGCAGATGCATAGAATAAGTCCTAATTCGAGTAACTTAGTCTAGTCCGGATTGCTCCCCACATATGTGGCTAAATTATTATTTAATATATCTCTATATAAAAGGACATGTATTCCAAAGCAAAGTTTTCTTTTGACAATAACATTTGGAGGAAGATTAACAAAGTAGACAAAATTATTTTCCATTTCAGTACAAGGATTACTTTTATAAATTTCATTTGTATATTTTTAAAAGATTCTTTAAAAATGTATTTGAAAGATGGAGAGACGTGGGGAGAGAGAGATCTTTCACCCACTGGTTCACTCCCCATATGGCTGCAATGGCCCAGGCTGGGCCAGGCCGAAGCCAGGAGCCAGTAGCTTCGTTTGGATCTTCCACGTGGGTGCAGAGGCCCAAGCATCTGGGCCATCTTCCACTGCTCTCTCAGATGCATTTATAGGGAACTGGATAGGAAGAAGAGCAACTGGGGCTCAAGCCAGTGCCCATGTGGGCTGCTGGTATCTCAGGCAGAAGCTGGCCACCATTTGTATAATTTTAAAAGACAAACTTAATCATCTATCTTAAAAAATATTTGACTGAAGACCTACAGATTACAAAGCAATATGCAAACACAGTAAGCTATGTCTGGTAAATTTTATCAGTATTCATGTTTGAGATAGCTGACTAATGTTACTGAAATGTTAGAATATCCAAAAATCTATCAAGTTTTACATTGCAAGGCAATTTCATGATATTTCAGAGTATCTCCTCACCTTACTTTACAAGCCCTGAGGGAACGTCTTGGTGAGTTCCTTGGTGAAGATGCTGTTGCAGAAAAATTTTTATTTCTGAAATGCATTGGAAATAATTTAGCTGTGGTGAGTTTTCTTATGTTTTTCTTTCTGATTAAAGAAAAGCTTACCTTATCAAATTATATTTAAATCTTAAATGCTTAACAAGTCATCCCCTTAACATGCTGTAGGATATGTAATATTACTCATAATTAAATGGAAATATCAGCAAGGATCGAGAAAGATAGATCTGAATGGCTTGTCATCAGGCATTAAAATTCTGAGGGAAGGAGGTTTTTGTGTCAATTTCCTTGAGAAGGGAAGGCAAACAAATTTAAAATATGATGAGGAGCAGATGTTTGGCCTACCTGTTGGGATACCTGCATCATCCCATTTCAGTGTCTAGATACAGTCCTGGCTCCACTCTTGATTCCAGCTTTCTACCAAGGCAGACCCTGGAAGCAGCAGTGATGGCTCAAGTAATTGAGTTCCTGCTACCCCTATGGGAAACCTGTAGTGAGTTCCTAGCTTCAAGAATCCTGGGAGCTCTTTCTGTCTCCCCCTCTCAAATAAATAAATAAATTATAAAAGTGATCATGTAAGTAATAGATATTTTTAAATTTAAATGATTGTCTCCTGGAGAAAATAGGATTCTCATTGCTTGAACTATAAGTAGCTTCATTTGGTGTAAAAATTATGTGGTTCCAACATAATTTTTGTGTCAATTAGTATCTGTTGAACACTTCTATTGGTAGTTTCTATGATTTAGCAATAGCATATTCTGAGGAGATAGTTTTTTGACTGAAAGTTCCAATCCAGCATGCCATCAGAACCTAGTTTCTAGTTTCTCATATCCTTTTTTTAAAAAAAAATTGTTTTATTTATTTGAAAGGCAGAGTTACAGAGAGAGAGAGAGAGAAAGAGAGATCTTCCATTCACCGGTTCATTTCCCAAATGGCCACAATGCTCAGGGCTGGACTAGACTGAAGTGAGGAGCCAGGAGCTTAATCTGGATTTCCCACGTGGATGCAGAGGCCCAAGACTTGGGCTGTCTTCTGCTGCTTTCCAAGGATCATTAGCACTGAGCTGGATTGGAAGTGGAGCATTGAGGACTCAAACTAGCACCCATATGGGATGCCAGCACTGCAGATGGCAGCTCTACCCACTATGCCATAGTGCCAGCCCCAGTTTTTCATATCTATGTAAGGTTTATTTCTTTAATAAATATTTTCTGTATTTAAGCTTTTTAAATTACAATCTGTTCTTATTCCACTCTAGTTAGTAGATTATATTATTGCTATGTGTTTCTTTATGTGATTATTTACTAACATCTAACTATGATTAGGTTATAGTTCCTTTTGGACAAGCATTTTATTTTGTTCACCATTATATTTATAATCAGTGCTTTGCAATGGAAGTATTTAAATGTTTATTAAATACATAAAAAATAAATGAAAAGGACAAAAATAGACATTTTCCCCAAAGTACTACCATATTTGCTATGTAGAATTCTTTAATAGCAATTGACCTTGAAAAAGCTTTGTAATTAAGGCTCTATTTTGTAAGCCAAAGAATTCATTTTCTCATCGTTAAATTAATTTTCCTGACACTGGATGGAATAGACACAATTTTCATACTTTTTGTTCTTTCCCATGATACGTTAACATAAAATACCAATCACGGGGAGACGCTGTGACACAGTAGGCTAAGCTTCCGCCTGTGACACTGGCATCCCATAAGGGCACCAGTTCCTGTCCTGGCTGCTCCTCTTCTGATCAAGCTCTTTGCTATGGCCTGGAAAAGTGGTGGAAGATGGCCCAAGTGTTTGGGCCCCTGCACCCACCTAGGAGACCCTGAAGAAGCTCCTGGCTTCAAATCAGTCGAGCTCCAGCCATTGTGACCAATTGGACAGTGAATCAGTGGATGGAAGAACTTTTCTCTCTGTCTCTCCCTCTATCGGTCTGTAATTCAACCTCTCAAATGAATTTTTTTTTTAATTTAAATACCAATCACAGAATCCCAGGTTTACAGGGACCTTGAAGGTAATTAAGGTCAACTTCTTTTTTCTTTTTTTTGGTTGGTTTTTCCAAAGAAACCTTTTTTTTTTTTTAAGGAATACAAACTTCATGCATTTCATAAATACAACTTAAGGAATATAGTGATTCTTCTACCATTCCCGCCCTCCTCCCCCATCCCCAGTGCCATTCTCCACTAAGATCCATTTTTGATTACCTTTATACACAGAAGACCAACTCTATACTAAGTTCAACAATTTGCATGAAAACAACAGTAACAAAAAAATGTTCCTCAACAGTTGAGACAAGGGCTGTTCAAAGTCATTGCATCTTGAAGTTAATTTTACTTTTTTTAAATTTTTTTAAAATTTTTGTTAGACAGGTAGAGTTATAGACAGTGAAGTGAGAGAGAGACACAGAGAAAGGTCTTCCTTCCATTGGTTCACTACCCTAATGGCCGCCATGACCGGCGCTGCGCCGATCCGAAGCCAGCAGCCAGGTATTTCCTCCCGGTCTCTCATGCGGGTGCAGAGACCCAAGCACTTAGGCCATCCTCCGCTGCCCTCCCAGGTCACAGCAGAGAGCTGGACTGGAAGAGGAGCAACCAGGACTAGTACCCGGCGCCCCAACCGGGACTAGAATCTGGGGTGCCAGTGCCGCAGGTGGAGGATTAGCCAAGTGAGCCACAGTGCCGGCCCAGTTCTTTTTTTTTCTAAGAAACTTAATTAACTTTAAAGAAACACCCAAGAATGATACACCTTTTGCAAGCACTTAGACATAATTACAATGCAACTCTTAAGAGGACAGAGGTCCTGCATGGGAAGTTAGTACACAGTGACTCTGTTAATTTAACAACACTGTTACTTATGACGTCAGTGTTCACCTGAGGCTCTTGACATGAGTTGCCTAAGCTTTGGAAGCCTTTTGAATCCACAGACTCCATCAGTATTTAGATAAGGCCATAAGCAAAGTGGAAATTCTCCCCTCCCTTCAGAGAAAAGTTCCTACTTCTTTGATGATCACTTCTTTCCACGGGGGTCTCACCCACTGAGGTCCTTCATGTAGCACATTTTTTGCAAAACATCTTGGCTTTCCATACTGAAATGATCTCATGGGCTTTTCAGCCAGACCAGAATGCTTTAAGGGCTGATTCTGAGGTCAGAGTGCTACTTAAAGTGATTCTCATTCTATGAGTCTGCTGTATGGACTTCTTCCCATGTTGGAGCATTCACTCCTTTTTAATTCTATCTATTATTATTACCAGACATGCAATCCTATTCATATGATAACTTAACACTTAAGATGATATTTTTACCACCCAGTCTAAGGGGATGTGGGGCCCCATGGTAAGTTTTTAAACTGTACCCTTATAAGTAAGTCCATAAGAATGTATGCAGATGACACGGTGGCAAAAAACAATCTAAATGAAAGATCCTGGTGAACAAGACCCCAGCAGAAGGAACAGGCCATCAAGGAGAGAGGCGCCTTTTTCTGAAGGGAGGAAGGAACCTCCACTGTGATACGGCCTTGACTAAACAAGTTCAGAGTCGGTGAACTCAAGGGGCTTCCATAGCCTAGACAGCTCATAGCAAGAGTCTCAGGTGATTACTGACGTCATAAATAAGAGTGCCAGTTGTTAAATCAACAACGGGAGTCACTGGGTTCATGCTCCCCACATAGGATCTCTGTCCTTACTGTGTTTTACTATGAAACTTAAAAACAACACTACTAGTCGAACAATACCCTATACCTGGTTCGGTTGTGTGAGTGCAGCCTGTTGAAATCCTTACTTAGTATATACTAAGTTGATCTTCAGTATATGAAGGTAATTGAAAATAAAATTCAATGAAGGCGGGATGGGAGAGGGAGTGGGAGAGGGAAGGGCCACGGGAGGGAGGGAGGAAGGTTGGGGGGGGCACAACAATACAAAAGTTGCACTTTGTAAATTCACATTTATTAAATGAAAAAAAAAAACTATATAACAAACAAAAAAAGGGGAAAAAAAGAACTTAATACTTTACCCTTTTAGTATTTTTTATGTTCTACTTAAAACTATTGGTTGAACTCTCTGTAATTAATACACAGTTACTCTTAGGTGTTTAATTAATGCTATAACTAGTACTCAAATAGTATTTTATACTTTGTGTTTCTGTGTGGGTGCAAACTGTTGAAATCTTTACTTAATATATGGTAAATTGATCTTCTGTATATAAAGATAATTGAAATTAATCTTGATGTGAATGTAAGGGGAGAGGGAGTGGGAGAGGGGAGTGTTGTGGATGGGAGGGAAGTTATGGGGCGGGGGGAAGCTATTGTAATCCATAAGCTGTACTTTGGAAATTTATGTTCATTAAATAAAATAAAAAAAAGAATGTATGCAGAACTATATAGCTTTACAGTTATAAACTTCAAACACTTCATAATTACAACTTTAATAACATGGTAATTCTTCCAATCATGCCCACCCTCCCATCCATACTCCCACCTCTCTTCCTCCTCCCTCTTATTCCCATTCTTATTTTTTACTGAGATCTATTTTCAATTGACTTTATATATATATATATATATGTTTAGTTCTATCTTAAGTAAAGAGTTCAACAATTAGTATAAAAAAAAAACTGTTCCTCAGCAGTCAAGACAAAGGCTGTTCAAGTCATTGTTTCTTTAAGTGTCAATTTCACTTCTGCAGATTGCCTTTTAGGTGTTCTATTAGTTATCACAGGTCAGGGAGAACATATGATATTTGTCCCTTTGGAGTGGCTTATTTCACTAAGAATGTTTTCCAGATTCATCCATTTTGTTGTAATTCCCTGGATTTCATTTTTTATTGCTGTGTAGTATTCCATAGTTTTCATAACCCATAATTTCTTTATCCAGTCTTCAGTTGATGGGCATTTGGGTTGATTCCATGTCTTAGCTATTGTGAATTGAGGTGCAATAAACATGAGGGTGCAGATGGTTGTTTCATATGCTGATTTCATTTCCCTTGGGTAAATTCCCAGGAGTGGGATGACTGGGTCATATGGTAGATCTATATTCAGATTTCTGTGATATCTCCATACTGTCTTTTAT